AATAATATTTCTAGATGGACCACTGCATAGAAGATTTCTACTGTGCCAACACAGCTAGGCTGATGCTGTCTTTTTCCAGAATTCTCTTTCCTACATAATTACAGGTTAGCATAGACCAAATGAAGCACTTTGCAAGAAATTTGGAAGGGAGAACTATGTAGCAGACACATTACTTTTACATTAGGAAGGGTTTTTTGGTTGTTTTTGTTTCTTTGCTTTCCAAATGGGCTGTGAAATTTGGAGCAAAAAAAAATGATGAGTTCACAACACTAATTTTCCTGTCCAAATCTCATATAAGGGAGCTGACTACCATAAAATAAAACCTCATCTTCTATAGACATAGTGCTCATATTTATAAAAAATCATACCTGTGTCAAAGAGTGTTTTCCCTGTGTTTTCCTCTACGAGTTTTATAGTGTCTGGTCTTACATTTAGGTCTTTAATCCATTTGGAGTGTATTTTTGTGTATGGTGTTAGGTAGTGTTCTAATTTCATTCTTTTACATGTAGCTGTCAAGTTTTCCCAGCACCACTTATTGAAGTGGCTGTCTTTTCTCCATTGTATGTTCTTGCCTCCTTTGTCATAAATTAGGCAACCATATGTGCATGGGTCTATCTCTGGTCTTTCTATCTTGTTCCATTGATCTATATTTCTGTTTTTGTGCCAGTACCATATTGTCTTGATTATTGTAGCTTTGTAATATAGTTTGAAGTTGGGGAGCCTGATTCCTCCAGCTCCACTTTTCTTTGCAGTATTGTTTTGGCTATTCAGGGTCTTTTGTATTTCCATATGAATGTGGTACTGATGAATATAGTGTCAGGGCAGGAATAAAGATATAGATATAGAGAATGGAGTTGAAGACACGGGGTGGAGGGGGAAGCTGGGGTGAAGTGAGAGTAGCATTGACATATATACACTACCAAATGTAAAATATTTAGCTAATCGGAAGCAGCAGCATAGCACAGGAAAATCAGCTTGGTGCTTTGTGACAACCTAGAGGGGTGGGATAGAGAGGGTGGGAGGGAGGCTCAAGAGGGAGGAGATATGGGGATATATGTATGTATATGGCTGATTTACTTTGTTGTACAACAGAAACTAACACAGTACTGTGAAGCAATTATACTCCAATAAAGATCTATTTTAAAAATCATACCTAAATTATAAGATTACAGAATTGGATTCTCAAGCTTGCAAGGCTTTTTATGATAAATTTAGGGTATTGATTGGGAAGGACTGGGGTCCTAAATATTAGGATAGAGGCATACGGAAAAATTCCAAATAAGATTGGAAAGTTGAACTTTTAAACTCTGCTAAACTGCCTTTCTTTTAGAATTATCTCTTCAACCTCTTGTTTTAAAGACGTTAATTTCCTCTTGTTTGAAGAAACTATAATTTCCTCACCACTGAGACAGTTCTCTTGCAAGAAGAGACTGCTAATCCTCTCCATATCCTATCTCCAACAATTCTTAATGCTCCTAGATCTATAACCAGAGTCAAGTTCCAACAGGGCCCAGAAGGTAAAGTACAAAGTGTGACATGGAAAGTATTACACATACCAAAAATTTTTCACATATGATTTTAACATTCTACATTTACCAAAACCTAGGTAAACAAGTGAGAATTAATCCTAAGGTTTTTAGATTAAGGTAGAAGAAATACAAATTTGGCTCAGGCTGAGGAGAGCAATAAAGTCTCACTTAGCCAAGATTCTGGATTCAATATGTTAAATCAAGAAGATAGGAGTAGCTTTAACATTTTCCTTTGCAAATGACTAAAATCTGGGACCAAAAAGTGCTTACATTTAATTAAATTAAATGCTAGAAATTCCCTGTCATATTACTGAGGAATATAACCAAAGTCTTAGTGAGCTCGGACAGTAGAATATATTTATGATGTCATATTTGTTTATTTATCTCCTAATGCACCCCTCAGGTGGATCAGAATACACTCCCTTCATTAAGTCTGGAAGAAATATATTCATGGGGAGTCCCCCGTGTCCTTAATGAGCTCCTTTGTGATTACATATTTTTTTCTTTTTAAATATTTATTTATTTATTTATTTAGCTACATCAGGTTTTGGTTGGGGCAGGTGGGACCTTCGCTGCGCCCTGAAGGATCTTTCATTGTGGTGCATGAGCTCTTTATTACGACGGGCAGGCTTCTCTCTAGTCGTGGTGCACAGGCTCCAGAGCACACAGGCTCAGTAGATGCGATGTGCAGGCTTCTCTCTAGTTGTGGCTCATGGGCTCCACAGTGCACAGGCTCTGTAGTTTGCAGCACGTGGGCTATCTTGTTGTGGTTCACAGGCTCCGGAGTGCATGGGCTCAGTAGTTGTGACACACCGGCTCAGTTGCCCTGTGGCATGTGGGATCTTAGATCTCCAACCAGGGATGGAACTCGCGTCCCCTGCATTCTTAACCACTGGACCACCAGGGAAGTCCCTGTGATTACTTTCTATTGTTCAGAAATATAAGCAGAAACTACTGTCATGGATCTGGACTCCCAGAAATCAATGGGGATAATGGAATTCCAGGTTGGCAGATGGCAAATAGAGGCACTTAATCTCCAGAGATAAAATAGTANGTCCCTGTGATTACTTTCTATTGTTCAGAAATATAAGCAGAAACTACTGTCATGGATCTGGGCTCCCAGAAATCAATGGGGATAATGGAATTCCAGGGTGGCAGATGGCAAATAGAGGCACTTAATCCCCAGAGATAAAATAGTAATGGTAACTCCACTGCAGAGCAGAGCTGAAGCAGGAATCAGAATGTCTATGCTGCAAAGATTTTGGTGTTGAATAGTTCATCATTATGTACCTACAGCTAAAATAAATGAGTAGTCTGTTAAATTTGTAAAAGTAAAAATTCCCAAATGTGTTAACCGTGATCTGTTTTAGAACACAATACAGTCACAGACATGCCTCAACCAGTTTACAGCAACCAGAGTCATTTTAATGAAAAGAAGACTGAGTACTCTTGAGGAAAGACCTAGCTATATAGCCCAAAATGGATATTGTTAATATTTCTCCTAGCTTCTCCCCAAGGACCTGCAAATATTTACCATGGTTACTATGAACTGGTGAAGGTGAAATCATCAGACTTTTCAAGGACATTTGACATTGACTCTGACCTCTCACTGATGCCTGGAGATAAAAATAGAACTGTAATGTACTAGTCAGAAGAGAGGCTTATGAAGGTCAGATAATCAATGGAGTGTGTCATTTCATAGTAGACCCAATGGACACCTAAACCCACACCATGACTATCTTCTGAGTTCCAAAATACATAATCAGATAGCACATGCTCATCAGTGGACTTGGTTCTTTAACCCATGGAAAGGGCATTGTTATGGTAGGGAAAGCCTAGTGAAAACCCCTAGATCTTCCTTTACACATAAAATATAAAACCAGAAACAGCACCACATCCCAAGAGGGATTTCAGAGATTGTCACTATCAAGCCCCTAAAAATGCTGGAGTTTATTCCTACCACGGCTAATTCAACTTACCTATTTCGCTTGTGCAGAGGACAGATGTAAATAACCATTATGAAATGAGATTATTGAAAATATAATCATGCAGTGACTCCAGTTGCATCTGCTAATCTAGACGTAGTTTCATTGCTGGAGCAAATCATTAAATCTCCTGTCAACTGATAGGCAATGATAGATGTGGACAATGCTTTTCCTCTCTAAACTTTTGAGCAAAGAGGTAGTTTGCTTTCAGCAGGTAGAGCCAGAAACACAATTGTACTATTCTAGCTCAGGGGTATATCAACTCTTAAGCTTTCTGTCATAGTCTAGTCTGTAATGACCTGAAACACCTCTCAATTCAAAAGGATGTCATGTTTATACATTACATTTATGATGTGACGATTTTGCATCTGATGAACAGGAAGTATCAGCAACTCTAGAGACTTAGGTAAGACATGCATGTTAGAATTTGGGAATGCATCCCACAAAATTCAGGGACTTGCCACCTTGGTGACATTTCTAGGGGCTCCACCTCATAGGAATGTTGAAATATCCCTTCCAAGATGAGAGATAACTTGCTGCATCTTGTCCCTCTACTATTGAAAAAAGTTTTAACAGTCTATGGGTCTCTTTAGATTTGGGATGCCACATATATCTCACTTTGCTGTATTATTCTTGCCCATTTATTTAGTATCCTGAAAAGCTGCCAGTTCTGAGTGAGACTAAGTTTCTGCAAAATGTCCATCTGCCAAGAAAGCTG